GCAGGAGGAGTATAAATTAAAAGGCCAACCTCGGCAACTTAGTAAGACCCTGTCTCAGTATAAAAAAGGGCTGTGGATGTAGCTCAGAGTTGAGGTTGCAGCTTGCCTGGCATGTGCGAGTCTCTGGGTGCCATCCATCATACTGAAAACCAAACCAAAACCAAAAAAGAAAAGAAAAAGAAAAACGAATCATTAACTGTTTGATTTTCCAAGAATCTTTTTAAAAAATGAGGTGTTGCAGGCAGAGCACTATTTCATCATAACACATATTTACTGCTGCACAGCAAAGGGGCTGAACGCATCTAGAGAACAGCAGGTAAACCTGGCACTGTGGCTCACACCTGTAATCCCCGTGGCTCTGGAAGCTGAGGCAGGAGGATTGCAGGTTCAAAGCCAGCCTTAGCAGCTTAGTGAGACTGTATTGGGGGGGAAAAAAAAGAAGGGAGAGAGGTCACAGATTTGCAGTTCATTCATCTGAACTGTAAGGTGAAGATCTGACTGTGTTGAGGTGAACTTGAGGGACCCTTTTGAAAACTGAATGAGAACTCAGTTTCCTGGTTACTTACTGTAACTGTCCACCATTATGGGTCATTCTTTGAGAGGTACAGTTGGAGGGAAGGGCAGCCTGAGTGAGAGGACTGTATAGGCAAAGGCCTGGAGGCAGGGCACCGGGTGGGTAGCGATGGCATTAGAGTTCTCCCCATCCCATGCCCCTGACTGAGCTGGTCAGGCTCCTCCCTCCAGGCCTTCACCCAGTAACCAGTCATCCCTCTACTCCAAGGGACACTGGGAACAAGAGCAATAGAGCAAGATCCTGGGGAGTGCACCGTGCCCTTAACTGCTTGGGACCCGAAATGATACCAGTGACATCATGCTCCCACTGTGAGGTCTGTTCAGGTCATTCCTGAATAAACTCTAGGGGAGCTGGGGCAGGTGGGTTCCTTATGACCAGGATGAGAAGCTGGGTGGCAAACGGTACACTGGCTGGGGGGTGTTATTTTGGTTTTGGTGGTCATGGAGGTTGAACTTGGCCTCCACAAGGTAGGCAAGGACCTGACCACCGAGCTACCAGCCCAGCCCTGTGGAGGAGGTGTTCTAAGTCTGGTATATATTTAGGGAGGCCTAGAGGTCACAGAGATTTCCTTGGGCGCTCTGTGACTGGGGGCTATGTCACCATCCACCCAGCAGGTAGTTTTTTAGTTTCGGCTTGTTCCCTATCTAATCACAAATTCTGAGGAGAACATTAAAGGTAGAATATACAGAGCTTGTGGAGCATATATCAGCCAGACTTTTTTTTAAATCATACATCATTTGTAATTGCAAATGAAAATGAAAAAATAACCCAAGACAGAGATCCTCCAACTGCCATTTCTCAGTATAAAAATGTATTATTTGTCCGTGTGTCTTCATGTCTTTTGTCTGTCATAATTAACATTCTTCCTCTATGTACTCCCAGTTCATCCTTTTAGGAAACTCAGACGGGCAGCTGACTTTAAACTCATGCTGGGTAAAACAGGACCATTTGTAAAGACGTGCCTTTGTCGGGTCAGGCCTGGTGTTGTGCAGTAACGCCTTCTAGCTGCAGTGGCTGGAAATGGCAAGAGTGGATTTTCTCTCACGCTGCGCTAAGTGTCAGCTTGGTGCCAGGCTGAGTTCACGTGAATCAAGATGGGATTTTTGGTTGTTTTTGTTTTGATGTTTGTTTACCGAGCTGGGGATGGAACTAGGGCCTCATGCAGGCTAGGCAAGTGCTCTACTGCTGAGCTGCATCTTCAGCCCTTTCTAAAATTTTTCTTTTGAGACAGGGTCTCGATAAATTTCCCAGGCTGACCTTGAATTTGCTACCTTCCTGCCTCTCAGGTAGCCCAGATTACAGGTGTACATATGTCATTTCTGCTCATATATTATCCTGCTCAACCACGGAGGTTCAATTTCTGGGCAAGTAGAGTACTAGAAATACATGGCAAGTAGCACTAATTACCATCTTAACACTTTACATGTTTTATTTTAATCAAGACCATTTGAACAGACATTCAGCTCCATTTAGAACAAAGACCTTTTCTTTCAGTATTGGTCTCCCAGTTAGCATACAGCATCATATTCTTCTATTTTACTATGCTTACAAACCACAATGAGTGATCTCCCTTTTAATTAAGTCTTTAAGTGACTTGAGAGCCTGAAAGAGTGGATTCTTGCTAGGTTTTTATGAGCTTATCCATTAAATCACTTACAGTTGCTTTGCTTGCACTTAATTTGGCAGCATTTTTTCTTTCTAATAACTCATCTTCATTCTTTCCAATGTAACCTCGTTTGCATACAGAGAACTCTTACATTAATTTTTAAAATTTTTTTTAAACATTGATGAACTGTTATTTATTTTATATGTGGTGCTGATAATTGAACCCAGTGCCTCACACATGCTAGGCAATCGCTCTACCATTGAGCCACAACTCCAGCCCCACATTAACATTTGATAGTGGATTAAATTATTAACTTAAGAACAACTGGATAAACAGGTTTGGGAACAACTACCTTACAGGAAGTAGGTAATCCAGCAGATGGAAGCAGAACTGTTTAGTCACAATAGTGGCCCAACAGTCTGTGCCCAGGTTTTACAGGTGAAATCGAGAGTTTATTTCAGATTGGCGGACTGGGTAGGTGACATGATTTCAGAGAGCTTTACTGCAGTATTACTAATAGAATTCAGCCTACATTTTCATTTCACCTTTTGACATGAGTTTCCAGTTTGGTCACCCTGGAGTATATCCTGGTATAGCTCTCTCTATGTGTGTATAGTCCTGGGCATTCATCCCCACATGTGTCCTGAAGAGGTCTGAAGGAAAAGGAAGTGTTAATTAGAGAAGAGGAAGGATGAAGAAGAGATCCAGAGATGATCTAGAGGGCAGCAGGGGACATGGCTAGGAGTTTGGGTTAGTTAATTCTAAAGACACTGGGAAGCCACTGAAGGTTTTGGTGAGAGGTGTGAGTGTTAAAGTGACAAAAGTTAGGAGGTGTCATCCAGGTAAGAGATCCTAATGGCTTGGACCAATGAGAATGGGGAGAAGTGAAGATTTAGAAGCTCTTGTCTATTTTCTCTCCTCCTTGCTATGGAGTTATCTGTTCATATCTAACTTGCTGTCAAGGAGCACTGACTCACCTTTTGCCACAATCCAGTTCATATTCTGGATTCAAGCCATTCCTGTGAAGCCCTTAGGCAGGACACTTAGTGGGGCAGAGAACTGACCTGGCCCAGGGGTTCTCCCCATTCACCAGCCACTCCTATCTCCTTTGTTATTTGCTCCCAAGGCTCCAGGGTTGGAGTGACCAGTCTCAATCCATATACAACACACTTGTTCCTCATCCATTCAAACACTGAGGACCATTGGTTTCCCTAGCCAGACCCCTCCTGTCTACACTGTTTAGTCAACATCTCAAACAAAAGTGACATTTCCCTCCTCAGCTTCAATTAGTGGCACTAATTCCCTTCTTCACTTCAATTAGTGGCACTCCTGTGCAACCCAAAACCTTGTTCTCAACCTTCTCTCAATGCACAAATCCTTTGGGCTCCAGCTTGAAAATCAATTTTGAAACTGACCACCCCCACTGCAGCCATCTTGCCCTTGATGCATCCTGTCCATGCCTCTTGCCCAGATTATTGCTACAGCCTCTCAGTTCTTCTGTTTTCACTGTTATTTTCAAAACAACAGCCAGAGGGATCCTTTAAAAAAATATTAAAAGTTAAACCTTCCAAAAGTAATTCTTCAGTAGATAACACTTGCTAAGAGAAGAATAAACAGAATCTGCATTTCAGCCGTGTAGGCCACTTTATTTCCCCTACCATCTGTCTTCTCTCTTTAGAGCTAACTGTGGAAGCATGCTGTTTCTGTAGTCTTTTTTTTTTTTTTTTTTGATCCAGAATTGAACCCAGGGGTTGCTTAACCACTGAGTCACATCCCCAGCTCTTTTTTTTTTAATGTTTTATTTAGAGTCAGGGCCTCCCTGAATTACTTAAGGCCTTGTTAAGTTGTTGCTGAAGCTGGCTTTGAACTTGTGATATTCCTAACTCAGCCTCCCAATCTGCTGGGATTAAAGGTGCATGCCACTGCACCCAGCTTCTGTAGTCTTATAGTGTGATTATGTGCATTTTACGAATGATTTGTTTATAAAATTGTCCCCCTGGTCCCCAGCCCATTGAGCTGTGCATTTGCTCTAGTCAGCAAGCATTGCAACTTGTAATATTTGTTTTCCCCAATGGATGACAGGCTCATTGAGGGACCTGGTGTGATCTGATCATCGCAGTATACTCACCGCCCAGCATAGAACCAGCCAAGGTATTAATAATAGGATTTTTTTCTTCTTAAAAGGTAACTAGAGTTACTGTGCCAAGCACTGATCCTGACACTTTATTAAATTCACTTGATTCTCATAACCACTCTAAGGTTGGAATATTATCACACTAGAGGAAAAAAGACTGAAGGAAGAAATCGTACACAATGACTAGTAAGTGACTACGCACTTAATTTTAGTTGAGTGAATCAACGAATAGCGGAGAGACAGAAGCTTGAAGGCGATGCAGAGGGTGGAGCCTGGGCGCGTAGCTGTGACTGGAGGGGTTTCCAGGGGCCGATGGCCCCTCCCAAGTCCCCAAGGGGCTCGCTGGGAGTTGTGGTCCCCTACCCACCTAGCCACGTCACCCCTCCAAGCTTTAAGTCCTCCCCTCATGCGTGGTGCTACCCGCGCCCTCGGGCCTCTTGGTAGCGCCCCCAGGGCTGTAGGTGAGGTTCCCAGACTCCCAATAGGGAGCCGACTTGGTATCACCTAGTGTCATTCAGCCCCCCCCCCCACACTTTGGTACGGTCTTTGGCTCCGCCACGCGCCCCCAGTCGTTTCTCGTACCTCGGAGCTCCTCCCCCGTGCTGGAGCGGCCCAAAGTATCTTCCCATTGCCATTCTTCTCACACACCTTCTCTTCCAAAGGTTCCCCCAGCCCTTCTTGGTACGGCCCGACCACGCCCCCTCGCGGACGCCGTTGGTACGCGCCGAGCTCCCCCGCTTGCCGCAGTGGTTTGGCCGCGGCGACCCCTCTGGTAGCGCGTCCCCCGCGCTTGGTACGGCTCAGCCCGTCTCCCCTGAAGCCGCGCGCCCGCGCCCCTCAGTCGGTGGATCCCGCAGCCCCCCGTGTGGCCCGTGGCAGCCGTCAGCCCGCTCGGCCCTCGTTCGCCATGGTCCGTCCGCGCCGCGCCCCGCATCGCTCTGGCGTTGGGGGCCCCCTCGGGGGTCGCGGTCGCCCCCCGCGGCCTCTCGTGGTGCGTGCGGTCCGCTCGCGCTCCTGGCCAGCCAGCCCTCGAGGCCCGCAGCCACCGAGGATCAGGGCCCGCTCGGCCCCTCCCATGGTGAGCCCCCCGCCCTTTTTCCAGAGCCTTCCACGACCCCGCCCCCGCCGGCCCCTCCCCCCGAGATCACGCCTTTGTCCGAGGTTTCCTCCTCTTTGGGCTCTCCCCAGTGGCCCGAAGGGTGGTCCCGCCTGGGGCAGTGGCCCCTGTGGAACCCCCTGTGGTACACGCCGGGCTCTCTCCTTTGTTACGCGTTTCTGCTGCGGTGGGGGTGGGGTACGGGGGCGGGGCGGGCTCAAATTACTGCTGACTCCGCGGCCCAATTTAAACGCGGGGTGGGGGGCGGGCGGATGCCGCCCGCGGTTGTTTTTCCTATTGGAAAGTTGGTCCCTCTTCGGGCAGGAAATCTGAAAATGCGTGAGGGGGCTGGGCGATGGCGGTCAGTAGGGGTGGGGGTAGCGTTTTGCACACGCGCACCCAGATGTTGCAGTCGGGGGCGTTCTCCCCTGTGCCCGAATGATGCCTGTGGCATGCGCACCTAGAATCTGCACCCACGCCCAGATATGGGATGCCTTTATGGATTGCAATGAATTCAGGACTTAAAGGTAAACATTCAACTTTGGAGGTATGTTAGGGTGCACATGCTTCATCAGACCCCAAACATACACAGACTTTTCAAAAACCTTAAAAATGCTTAGGGGCCGTAAAAGTGCACATCACGGCGTTTCACACGCAAACCATGCACACACTTGCCCAGATGTGAGGCTTCTACACTTGTACTCAGGCTCTCTTAGAAACACTCTGCCCAGAGGTTGCCCAGAGCTGAAGCAGCTTTACTCAAGCCTCAAACACTCTCCTGCGGGTCTGAAACATACTCCACTGCCTTCCTACTGCCTGAAGCATTCCCATCTAGTTGTTCAAATATGCTTCCTAAATCCTCAAACATGCATTGGAAGACTTTAAACTTCCCTCCAAATCCCCACAGAGCTACCCTGTGCAGTAAACAGCAAATCAGCACAATTTTGCACACACTTGCCTAGGTATGAGATTTCCTTTGGGGTTGCTTTCAGTCTAGACCCTAACTGTGTCCTTCTGCTTCCATATGCTCATCCTGAAGTTGCAGGTGTAGGTAGGGTTCAGGCAAACATCCTGGTGTTTACCCACTGTGTGTGACTCCAGATCCAAACATAACAGATTCTAAGTGCTCAGTCTTCTCTTCTAGACAAGCAGACCTTAACTGTTTGGATCATACATTGGGCTAGTTCAGGTATCCCAGGTAAGCACTCCATAATCCCTGGGTCTTATGTATCATAAATACACCCCCATCTCCCAGGACTCCTGCAACTGTGTTTTTCCTACCTTTGCTCAGGTGTTGAGCCTCCCAGGTGGGTACCTGTAAACATGGGCTTTCATCACCTCTTCTCTGTCCCGGACACACTCCGGCCTTGAACACATCAACGCTTTCTTACACTGGAACGTTCTCTATCTAGTTTTCTTCCTCCCCCCCCCCCCCAATGTATATCCCTGGCCCTCTCTGGTTTTCTTCTTGATCTTGTATGTTTGCTCAAATCCCCGACTCACCAGTCCAGGTAGACTGTATGCTTGCTCATGTTTTTATTCATCTTAAGACCTGTATAAAATAAGTATTTTCCTGCTTGTCATTATTCTGGGATAAAAAGATCTCTATATGCTTTATAAGGAATGTGGAAAATATCCATTAGTGACTAGGTAAGAAGAAAGGTAACAACTCTTATAATTTTGCTTGTACCTACTACTGAGATTTTCACACATTTCCTGCTTCCAACCTCTTTCTAAAGCTTTCTCTTGTTTGCTTTGATGTGTTTGATTTTAAAAAGACAGGTTAGAGAGGGCCCTGTCAGAAGAACTTGTGCTTTGGTTTGGTAGTATGGTGCTTTCTGGTGTTTTGCAAGCATTCTGGTGTGACTCCTCCAGGATTTGTCATACCCTCTTCTTAATGCCTTCCCCTTTTTCCTGAATAGCCTGTTCCTCCGTTTATTTCTTGGTACTGCCTCCCTGGGGTCAGCAAGAAAGGCCACCCTGTGCCTGGAAAGGTTGGCACAAGCTGGCAAGGGAGTTTGGATTTTCTCTTTAGGATTTTAGGATGATGGGTAGTCCTAGAAGTATTCTGAGTATTGGAGGGACAAGACCAGCCACTGTACAGGACAGGGCTGGTTATATATGTGGGGCCTGCCAGCAGGCCCTGCTGGGTATAGGAATCCTCCAGACAGCTGGCTTTTGAGTTAGGTCTGACAAATTGTTCAGGCTGCAGAGGATGAGTGGTGGCATATCCCCTAAAGGGACGGGATGACATTCCAGACTAAGCACACAGCTGGAGCAGAGACTGAAGGGGGAACAAGACCTATTCAGACCAGTGTCATGTGACCAGTGGGCTGTGGGGGCGGGGAGGACATGGGGTAACCTTGAGGGGTGTTGACTACTAGGGCAAGGGGCTTGGATGGGGCCCTGGGAGTGTCTAGCATGGAATTTGAACATTGGGATGTCTTTTCTGGAGTGTGTGTACACAGCCTGTCCTTAAAGGTCTCCTGGTCTGAGTTTCTTCACCCCTCTCTGCCACAGGAAGGTGCTCGGGTCTTCGGGGCTCTGGGTCCCATCGGGCCTTCCTCACCTGGCCTCTCCCTTGGGGGTCTGGCTGTAAGTGAACACCGTCTCAGCAATAAGCTGCTGGCCTGGAGCGGCGTCCTGGAATGGCAGGAGGTGAGCAAGTCTTTGTCAGGTTCACTGGAGTTTTTGTGGACTGGCTAGGCTTCCACCAGTCCCCATGGGTGGGGGCCAGCCTGGGCTTCTAGGCTGTGTCCTATGACCCCCATTCTCCTTGCTCCCACAGAAACGCAGACCCTACTCTGACTCTACTGCAAAGTTGAAACGGGCCCTGCCCTGCCAGGCCTACGTGAACCAGGGCGAGAACCTGTGAGTGCCTGGACAGGGGACTGGGTGGGCTCATGGCCAGAAGGCGCTCCCTGACCTGCTCCTTCCTGCAGGGAGACTGACCAGTGGCCACAGAAGTTGATCATGCAGCTGATCCCGCAGCAGCTGCTGGTGAGACTCCCCCCAGCCCACCCAGTCTACCCCACCCCCATACTCCATATCCTCGTGGTGACCCAGTTGTACCCTCGTTGCCTCCAGACCACATTGGGCCCCCTGTTTCGCAACTCCCAGCTGGCACAGTTCCACTTCACCAACAGAGACTGCGACTCCCTCAAGGGGCTTTGCCGCATCATGGGCAACGGCTTTGTGAGTCGGGCAGCAGGGTGGGCAGATGTGGCATGTGGTGAGTCGGGCAGATCTCTACCCATAGCCCAAAGCAGGGAGGGGCCTGGGGTAGTTGTTCCCTTGCATGTGTGTTGGTCTCTCTTTTTTTGTGGTATTGGGGATTGAATCCTGGAGTGCTTTACCACTGAGGTACATCCCCAGTCTTTTTTTTTTTTTTTAATGTTTTTTTAGTTGCAGATGGAGACAGTACCTTTATATTATTTGTTTTTATTTTTATGTGGTGCCACGATTGAACCCAGTGCCTCATGCATGGTAGGCAAGCTCTCTACCACTGAGCCAAAACCCTGGCCCCATGCATCCCCAGTTTTGACACAGGCTCTCACTAAATTGCTAAGGGTCTCACTAAGTTGCTGAGGCTGGTCTTGCACTTGGGATCCTCCTGCCTCAGCCTCCTGAGTTGATGAGAGTACAGGCATGTGCCTTCCTGTCTGGCTGCTGTTTTCAGTCTCTTGAGGAATTCTTAGTAGGACCAGGAGAACAGTAACTCCCCCACTTGAGTCTGTCTCAGGCCCTGAGAGCTTGCATTGGGGTGGGAGTGAGTGGAGGGACCTAGGCTAGCCATGTTGGGACCCAGAAGATGCTGGTAAATGGGTGTGTTTGGGGAAAAGGAGCAAACTAGCACAGTGTGTGTGGGGCTTAGTCTCCTCTAAAATGGGGCTACCAGGGCTGGGGATGTGGCTCAGTGGTATAATGCTTGCCTAGCATGCGCAAGGCATGTACTCGTTCTTCTTGGACGAGTACAGGAGCATGAGCTTGGATGGGGCCCTGGGAGTGTCTAGCATGAGTGCAATCCTTAGCACTGCCCAAAAAAAAAAAAAAAAAAAAAAAAAAGTGTGCGAGGTAACTACTACCAGGAGCCCTTATTTCATGGGGTCTCTGGGAGGATAGAATGTTTGTGTACAGTGACTTGAGTGCTCAGTAAATGTGAGCTGGTGAGACTGCCAAAGGACTTGCGGTTTGGACATAAGGCAGGTCACGAAGTAAGCCCATTGGAGTTGTGGGCCAGAATGTCCCCTCTTTGGTCTTGGTTTTGGCAATGGCTTCTGGCCCCTTGCAAGTTGTCTAGCTGTGGAAGGTGGGCTCTGGGGGCAGGTGAGCATCATCTATTCATGATACCCAGAGGATTGGTTCTGGGCTCATCCCCCAGTCCCTGTTCCCCTTTTAATAGTTGGCTCCCTCCTATTCTGTACCACCATCTCCAGAAATGCCATGTGTGGCAAGACCCCTATGTCTAGGTTGTTCCCCTTTCCCTCAGGACCTAGACACATCAGGACTTGTGACTGGTGTGAGGTCTCCTAGCCAGCAGGTCCCCTTCACTTAGTTCTTGCTGAGGGAGGATGTGTTGGTCCCCAAGACCCAGTCTTCAGGGAAATGAAGTGTATAACCTGTAGTGTGACCTGGGATGGTCCCTTAGCAGGTGGTCACTCACTGAGCCCAGGATCAGGAGGTTAGGTTGCTGGTTGTGGTGGGGCAAACCTATAACCCCAGTGAGATAGGGAGGTTGTAAGTGAGGCCAGCCTCAGTGACTTAGTGAGACTCTATCCCCAAATAAAAAAGTAGTGTTTACTTAGCATGTGCAAAGCCCTGGGTGGAAGCCCCTAAGCCCCCACCTCCCCCAAAATAGAAGTAGTTGCACAGGTAGCCTTGTCCTCCTAATTGCCATCGACAAGGCACTAGAAGCTCACATACTGAGCATTCATGTAGTACTTAGAGTGTGTACTGCACTGTCATTAACTGTGTTACAATGGGGAAACTGAGGTTGCAAAACAAGAGGTGGCTTGCCTTAGCACACAGCAAGGAGGTAGCATGTCTGGGTTTGCACCCGCAGCCTGGCCTGTGTGTGTTCTTAACCACAGGCCAGTTGCTGTCATCAGGTGGGCTCAAGCCCTTCCTGGAAGCCATTCAGGTTTAGGCAGCAAATCTAGTTTCTGCAGAGATGGAGCCTCTCAGGATCTTCACACCACAGTGTGGGTCCAAGATGCCACCCCAGCCTGAGTCACTGCAGGGTAGGGGAGATGCTGAGACACAGCACATGTTCTTAGAAAGAAAGGCACACTGTAACTGCAAGCCCTGCAGGAAGACCATGGCCTGGACTCTGACGACTTGTGCTCCTCTCGGTCTCTGGGTAGTGTGGAGGGCGAGTGGCTTCTCAGCAGTGTCCGGGGTTCCTGACCTGCTGGCCTCTCCCCCAGGCGGGCTGCATGCTTTTTCCCCACATCTCCCCCTGCGAGGTGCGCGTGCTCATGCTCCTGTACTCGTCCAAGAAGAAGATCTTCATGGGCCTCATCCCCTATGACCAGAGCGGCTTCGTCAATGCCATACGGCAGGTCATCACTACTCGCAAACAGGTCAGGTGTGCCAGTCCAGTGCAGCCTGGCCCCTAGCTGGTGGACATGGGCAGAGCATGGTATGATAGCTGGAGCAAGGAGCATTAGGGGGAGCTCCAAGGAGTCAGTGGCTGATTTCCATCGAGGTTCAATGGGACAAATGGCTTGTCAGGCTTGGGTTGGAGGGACAATGGATGGTGGGTGCTGGCAGCAGAAGAGCCTCGGGAACAGGGAGGCAACATTAGGTCTGGCATACGTATCTCAGGGAAGGTGGTGTGAGGCTAAAAGGCTCTGGAGGGTGACATGTGTCCTGGTTCATGCCTGTCAATTACTGATAGTGCTACCATTTCTGAGAAGTGTACCAGGTTTTACAACAAATTATAGGTTCTGTGGGCTTCATAAACCAGGTGAGGGGATGAGACTCGTCTCTGGACCCTTGGGAGTCATAAGGAGGTATTCAGCAGTCAAGGGGCAAAGCCACCTGAGGTTTCCCTGGGGCTGTGATCAAGGCAGAGAAGGAGGTGGGAGGATAAACAGGGCAGGAAGAAGGCTCAGGAGCCCTAGGACAGTGGTCCAGGGAGCCTCCTCTATAGCAGAGCCTCTCCTGGTGCATGGCCCACCCTGCCTTTTTCCCCCACAGGTGGTGGGACCTGGTGGAGTCCACTCAGGCCCTGTCCAAATTGTCAACAACAAATTCCTGGCATGGAGTGGTGTTATGGAGTGGCAGGAGGTGAGTCCTGGCAGGCTGGGGACCTGGACCCAATGTATCTCACTGTCTCTGGGCTTCAGCAGCTGCTGGCATCTAGTGCCCCACCCCTGAGGCTCCTCTCTTCCTCTGTCCCCAAAGCCTAGGCCTGAGCCCAACAGTCGGTCCAAGAGGTGGTTGCCATCCCATGTCTACGTGAACCAAGGAGAGATCTTGTGAGTGTTAGATTTGGGAGCAGAGGCTACTTTCTAGCAAGACGTATTCCTGACCCCATCCTTGTGCCCACAGGAGGACTGAGCAGTGGCCGAGGAAGCTGTACATGCAGCTCATCCCACAGCAGCTGCTGGTGAGTTGGATGGCAAGTTGTGTACATATGTGACTTCAGGGCTGTGGGGGGCTTCCCTGAGGAGGTGGCTCTGAAGTTGTCAGCTGGAGCAGCGAGACCGGCTAAAGATGGAAGGAAGCAGTGGCAGAGGCCTTGGGCTGTGCAACCTGTCCAGCAGGTGGAGGAGGGGCGTGGAGACAGGGTTGATGTGGACTGCTGTGGCTTTAGTTGAGTGAGGTCCAGACTTGGTGCAGGCTGCCATGAGAGGCAGGGCAGAGGTGAGTAAGGAGTAGGAGGAGGGCAGGACTTTCAGGTTCCCAGCATTTGCAGAGGTGACATTTTTCTGAGCTGAAGGGCAGGTTGGTATAGCATTAACAGATTGCCATTGACTGGTGTGGGAAGTGGGTGACCCGAGGGAGGGGACCATGGAGTCAGTCCCTTGGTTTCCCCACAGACCACTTTGGTGCCACTGTTTCGGAACTCCCGCCTGGTGCAGTTTCACTTCACCAAGGACATGGAGACGCTGAAGAGCCTGTGCCGGATCATGGACAACGGCTTTGTGAGTGGGGCTTGCACAGGCAGAGGCCACCGAGCAACATGTTGCTTGGAGCCTCAGGGGGAGTCCAGCTGGGGTAGGAAGTGGTGGCGGCGGCTGCTCTTGGGTTTGGAGACAAGAGTGGATCAGTGTAACTTTCCACAGAGCCAGCCAGAATGGCTGTGCCCAAGAGTGGGAATGTGTCCTGCACAGGCACCTGTGCTGCTCCAGACAGATATCCTCATTCTCTCAGCTCTCCTGATTCTGCTGCACAGGCAGGCAGCTGGTATGGGTTCCAGACCTACCCCTCTAATGCCACGTCCTAGTTTACTTTGTCTCAGGACCTGGTGTCACTGCGCATCACTAAAGCACCTAGTCAGTATCCTAGGTCCCACCTGTGGTCTTCCTCACCCTTGCCCCCCGCAGGGTTTTCCAATGGGAAAACTGGAGCTCTGAGCTTATGGCCCTTGCTGGAGGGTGCCTCCCAGACAGGAGGTCGGTCTGCTTCCAGCCCAGGTCCTATGCACTTGGGATTGTCTTGTCTGTGGTTTTAGCTGAGTCTTTTCCTTTCTCTGGACCTATTTCCCCATCAGAGGTGAGGAAAGGTAGCCTTCTGTGCTTCTGAACTCTTAACCAAGGATGTCTCCTTCTGGGTACTTGCTGTGCCTGGATGACATCAGTCTATAAGAACCATTGTTATTTACCTCTCCATTAGTCTGTAATGAAGGATAGCCCTGAAATCTGGGAAATCTGTTAAGGCCCCATTTTCTCCTAGGCCCCTCCCCTCCAATGGCTCTGGTGGGCACAGGCACAATTTCCTCTGGGACCCTTACACCACAGTCCCCTGAGGCAGTGCCCAGGCCTGAGGCTGCTCAGTTCTTTCTGGTTTTGGTGAAACTTATATGAGTCCCCACCCCCACCTTGGTTTTATTTCTATAAGGTGGGAGGGGTGACTTCCTAGGTAGTACCCAATGAGCTCCATCAGGGACAGCCATATCAGTGTCCTAGGCCTGCCTGAGACAGGTGGTCCTGGACGCCTGATCACGGTGGGGGCTTTGGCGCCATCTGCGGCAGCTTTGCTTCATGTCCCCCAGCAGGAGGTGGGGTTCGCATGAGGTGGAGGCACTGTGCTTAGTGCCACTTGTCTGTCCTGATGGGCTCTTTGGAGCCCTCCTGTGCGGCAACCTCTTGGGCTTCAGCAGCACTTGTTTTGCACAAACTGCTGGGTCATTCCGCAGAAGCCTGTGGGTTCTGGTCCACTTGTTGCTCCTGGCCTTGGTCTCCTTGTCCTCCAGATGGGGCGGCAAGGCAGGGCAGCGGGCAGCACTGGGCTGGCAGTGTACTCAGTGGCACCACCTTGGGGCTAAGGGTAGTATGCGGGAAGAGTGTGAGGAACAACCACCTCTGACACGTCCCCTACCCTGCCAGGCTGGCTGCGTGCACTTTTCCTATAAAGCCTCATGTGAGATCCGCGTGCTCATGCTCCTGTACTCCTCGGAGAAGAAGATCTTCATTGGCCTCATCCCCCACGACCAGAGCAACTTCGTCAATGGTATCCGGCGTGTCATAGCCAACCAGCAGCAGGTCCTTCAGCGGAATCTGGAGCAGGAGCAGCAGCAGCGAGGGGTGAGGCCATCCCCAATACCTGCCTTCCACCCCCACCCTCCCTACTGCTGACTCTCCCCCTGACTTCCTCTGCAGATGGGGGGGTAGTGCCCCTCAACAAGACCAGGCCCTCCAGGAGTCACAGATGAGGCCCCTGCAGAGACTGGTGAGTGCTGATCCTATTCAGTGCAGATGGATCTCCTCAGACTTGCCTGGGGTGTTAGGAAGAAGCAGGGTGTCCCTGGCCTGGGGAAGACCAGAGAGAAAAAAAAACATTGTGGTCCCCAGTGTTCTGTGGCCACCTGGGAATACTAGCCCCACTAGCAGGGAATTGAGTCTGGGGCAGCAGCTTCAAGGCCTAGGCATGGTGATTGCTCTTCCCACAGTTCCTGGGGCTGCTGAGGTGCTGTGTCCAGCTCTTTCCACTATATCCCCTGCCCCCCCCAGGTCAGATGCTTCTGTGCTGGGGCCCCTGGGACTACAACTGCCCAGCAACACAGAGGACAGCGTCCTGAGGTCTCAAAGGACAGTCCCCATCCCTTTGCATTTCCCTAATAAAGTCTTTTAAGAATCTACTTGTCAGCTCAGCTCACTGCCCGAGTGCTGGGCAGCTCTCCTGCTCCGTGTGATGCCGTGGCAGGGTCAGACAACAAGGCAGGAGACTGACCCCTGTCCTAGCAGCAGTCCTCACCTGAGTGTTTTTATGTCCCCAGGGCTGGCTCAGCATTTGAGCTGTTGATGGTGTTCGCTAGGAAGTATGTGTACTTAGCAGGTTACAAGGGAAAAGCTGTGTCTACTGATCAGGAGTTGCTCTTTGAGATCCTCGTTACCCAGTGTGGGAAGGAAAGTGGGGCTCAGTGTGGAGCCCCCAAGTTACCTGACATGGGATCTTCCCCAGCTGTAATAAGTGGGTAAGGGTGTTTGGTGGCCTCACCTCCTGGGGCCTTTGTGTCAGAAGCATGAAGCCGTGTGTTGGTTCTCTGTTTCCAGTACCTGGTGCCAGGGCCTCGCAGGTAGTGCTCATGGTTTCTTTCCCCTGGACTTACCTGTAAGAAAGCATAGGTCAGGGGCGTTTTTGCCTCCTGTAGCTGGAGGGGGGAATCCATAGGCAGGTCCAAGACCCACATCCCCTGCATTCAAGTCCAATGCAATAGAACCTGAGCCCTGGACATTTTGTCCTCATGCAGTACTGGGAGTTGAATGCAGGGCCTCACACATGATTAGGCAAGCTTGCAATCACTGTGCCCTCATGGGCCATCTTGAGCCAAGCTCTGGCTAGCTTATAGGGGCCCATTCAATGTCCTACATTCCCATGTCTCATCTCAGTCTCTTGTTTGACCTGCTCATGACAACCTCCTAGTGACACCTTTCCACAGCCCAAGGTGGGTGGAGTGGTTTGGTGTAGAACATGAGATGTGCAGAGGACCAGCCTGAGCCAGTCCAGGTCCCTCCTTTTCTGTTAACCTGAAAATGTAGAAAAGTGTGTGCGCGCGCGTGTGTGTGTGTGTGTGTGTGGGGGGGGGGGGGGGGGCGGGGGGTTGGCCCAGGCCTGGTGACGCACCTCCAAGACGACCACCCTTCCTCCCAGCAAAATGCTGGCCAAGCTTGGAGAAAAATAGCATTTATTGCCAGGTCAGGGAGGGGAGCATGGGGCTGGGCAACTCAGCCCTCAGAGAACTGCCGGTAGAGTCGCTCTAGTTGCGGCTCTAGCTGCAGCTGGAATGGGATCTCCAGGATTGCAGAGAAGCCTTCCGCCACCGTAGGAGCTTCAAACTGTTTCCTGGTGGCAGAGAAGGTGGTAAGGAGAGGCCAGGCCCTACCAGCCCACAGCCTACTAACTAGAGGTACCTGTAGCCGAATATGACGACATCTGACACTGGTGTGTGAGAGGAGCCAGTCATCTCCCGGAACTGTTAGGGGATGGTTCAGAGTGAGGCCATCAGGGGGACAGAGGGGCAGGGCAGGGCAGGAGGGAGGGGGAGGGCAGGGGCTCACCCGGTTGTTGTGGCGAGCCTGCTCCAATGTGGCAGTGAAGAGGAAACAACGGCAGGGAACACCTGCATCCCTGGCACACTGGACATACCTGTTGAGGCCAGGAAAGCGCTGTCACCAGGCCCTTGCCAGCCCTACTAGAGACCTCCCATGGGGCCAAGTACCTGGCCCTGGTCGGGATGTCTGGATTTGTGTTGTCGATCACCACGCGTTTCCTCTGCTTCAGAGCTGCCTCACAGGTGCTCACACAGCGCTGCCAGGAGCCTATCGTATCCTGGGGACAGAGGAGAGCAGGTCACAAGCAGGAATTGCCCAATAGGGAATAGAAGATGAAGGGGTGTCCTGGTGGGGGCAGGGCAACAAATCAGAACTGCAGGAGGGAGGCAGGGGTGCTGGGCGGCAGCCCTGAAGGCCCGGTTGGGGCAGCCAGGGAATGAACCAGTGGGATGGGGCGCGGCAGCCTCTTACCCTGTTCACGTGGACGTACCCAGCTGACACGAGATGTTTCTTGAGGAAGGTGGACTTCCCAGCTGAGAGGCACAAAATCACTATCAGTGGATACCCAGGACCCAGAAGGACACTTACAGCACCCAGAGATGGGGATCAGGATATCTCACCCCCAGGGAATCCCACGGCGACAACCACCTCTGGGTCAGAGCTCAGGAGGGAGCTGGACTCTGGGAGGCAGAGAGGCCCTGAGCAGGAGACAGTCCTCTAGGAGGGGTGGAACAAGAAGTTGAGACCCTCATTCCCCTGCTTGTTCCCTGCCTTCCACCCCTCGGGCCTCACCGGGTCAAATGCTGGGAGGACAAAGGCTGCTGTGGGCTGCTTAAGGAAGAACTCCTCCGGGGTGGCGAAGGGCAGGCCAAGGTTGAGCGCAAACTGGGGCAAAGGCAGAGGTGAGGCAGAGGTCGAGGGCGGGGTGCGGGGCTCACCATTGGTGACCGATCCCCAATCGGTCACCTGCTCACCAATCGGTCAGCGCAGGAAAAGTCTTTCTTCTTACGGCCAGGGGCCCAGTTGGCTGGGCGGCCTGCTGCATCTGGAACGCACGAGGATACCCTTCACTGCCAGCAGGTTTGGAGAGAAGGGTCTTGGCCCACCCGCAGCAGCCCCAAGCCCTTACCTCCCACGAAGATGCTGTCCCCCATAGAGATGGGCACGCCCTCGTTGGCCTGGAGAGACAAATAGAACCTACTGCTAACAACTGTCCCTCTGCAGTAAAGGGCTCCCTGGGGCAGCTCTTCTTGGTCTGTGCCCTGCATCAGGCCAGATCTCAAACCTCTCAAGTCCTCACCATTGCAGCGCTTCTCACGCTTCACTGCCTAGACTCAGGCCAGAGCGGATAGGCTTCCAGGCTCCCATCCCCACTTAGACCCCACATGTGTTCCTACTCTGCTCCCGTGGCCCCAAGGCGAGGCCCCACCCTCTCACTCACCTGGGTCCACCAGGTGGGCATCCGCACTGGTGAACACGCAAGGCTCGGGGCCTTCACACCAGCTGTCACTCTGGCCAGGACCACTTCTGCAGATATCCATGTGGCTTCTTCCCTCACCTCCCTTAGACTTTTACTCAAATGTCACCTTCTTAGAGACGTCCCCCTGGCTACCGTAGGAAAATCACACCCTACTTCCTATTTTATACTCATGTGTGCATTTATAGCTGGCTGCCATCAGCGGTCTACGAGTACTGCTAGAGCAGGCATGCCACTATTATTTACCAGGATTTTCAGCTCAGAACAAACCATTGGTTGAATGAATTAACAATCTCAACCACTGATTTTTTTTTTTTTTTGGTGGTACTAGGGATGGAACCCAGTGACTCAGACATGCTAGGCAGGTGCTCTACAGCTGAGCCACATCCTCAGCCCTATTTTGTATTTTATTTAGAGACAGGGTCTCACTGAGTTGCTTAGTGCTTCACCTTTGCTGAGGCCAGCTTTGAACTCATGATCAGTGAGTTTGATCAGCTGCCTTTGAACTCAGCCTCAGCCTCCTGAGCCGCTGGGATTTCATTCATGCGACACTGTGCCCGGCTTATTTTATAGTTTGAGACAGGGTCTCCTTAAGTTGCCCAGGCTGACTCAAACTTACCCTCCTGTCTCTGCTCCTGATGCAACCTCTGAATTCAGCTTAATGGTACTGACCTCATATACCAGCACCTAGGACCTGACAGCTAAACCACATGACAAGGACTAAGGGAGGAGAGAAAGAACAAGCCCTAAGAAACAGGGGCTAGAGCAAGAGGAAGAGGAGGTACAGCTCACCTGCTCCTGCAGATGGTCCCACATGCCAGTCACCGGCTTCCGATACAGGCCTGCATGTGTAGCCACCAGCACCTGAAGTGGGGCAGGGGTCACACACCATCCTCAGCTCTTCCAAGCCCCAAAGAGCTGGGTACCAAGCCCCAGAGAGCTCCCATGCTCTGGGATATACAGCTCATGACAACTGCTCATGGCTTGACCCCAGCAGAGGCCTCTGTCCCATACATCCCAGGGACTCTCTCTGGGTTTGTCTCCCACCCAAGGGTCTTTGTTACCCTACCCTGGCCCTAGCCTCCATTCTAGTCATACCTGAAAGGGAACCCCCAGCTTCTCTACCACAGCCTCCACCTTGGCCTTGAACTCCTCTGCTGGCAGTTTCCCTCGTCCAATGCCCATCTGGTTGGTGAAGATCACCAGCTAGGGAGCAGACAATGTCACCAGGGCCTCCTCATCAGAGACCCTGTCGCGCTTGCTCACATAGGCACAGACCTTGTAGCCTTCTGCTTCCAACTCCTTCAGCTTGCGTGGAATCTCTAGGTACAAGACCCTAGAATGGGTCGGAAGTGGACAAGTGACCTGGGGCCTGGAGGGGTCAACCAGCTCCACTCACTCCCTTCCCTTGCCCCTCCTCACCTCCAGTCACTGGGGCCAGTGGGAAACACCTTCCCAGAGCGGGTGGTGATGAGGGTCCCATCCAAATCAAAGGCAGCTACCTGGTGTCACCAAGAACAGAGGAGGGGCAGCATTGAGACACCTGTCTCTTCACTCACAGGATGAGTCACAATAACACTTTGATTCAGGGAGATGGTTTTCTGTAGATATGACCCAACAGGGATGAGGCACAGACACATCACCTGAAATCCTACTGTCCTGTCACTCCTGTGTCCACCCCACCTCTGCATTTCTAGTATTAAAATGAGGATTAGTTTCTTACCCGATCTCCTCCCCTGGGCTTTTACACCTTGGAGATTAATAACTACAGGGGAAATAAAACCAGAGCAAAGCTTTTTTGGGGTGCCCACTGCCTGTCAGGGACCAAGGCCACATACTTTTTGGGAAGTCATCATTTCAGAGGTGAGATGTAGACTCAGCATGGCCTTGACCACATCTAAGTGCAGTCTGAAGAGCCCCTGCTGACCTGTTCCTGGTCATCCTGCTGATTCCTGGGTGGCTACCAAGGGGCAGCAGGGACCAACCCACACTTCCCCCAAGGCTAAGAGGCTGACAGCCTTGCCTAGGATCACATTTGAAGTTCAGACTGAATGCCCAGCCTAGGGCAGAACCTCCAGCAGCCTCACCTTGCCCCGAGGCTTCACCCCAGGTGCTGTGAACACTAGCAGCTTCTCCAAGCTCTCCCAGCCAGGGGATGACTTCCTTAAGCGCTTTTTCTGCTGCTTAGCATCCTTCTCCTGCTCTTCATCTGAAGCTACTGGAGAGGTGCCAGGCGGAGTATCTGGCTGGGATCCTGATGTATGGGTCTCTTTCCAGCGCAGGGTCAGTGGGTGGAGGCCATTGACCAAATATAGTGTGTCCCCCACCCCCAGAGAGCCCTCCAACCCTGGTTTCAACTGCTGGGTTCCAGCAGTTGAAGGGTTAATGCCCAGCTGCAGAGAAAGAGGGAGGGGCTGGGACCAGCTCCACCCACTGTGAGAACCTCCCCCCTGCCCCCCCCAATACCACAGGGTGATTTAGTCCACCTACCAATCAGACCCTTATAGGCTTCCAGTCTTGCCCAGTTGAAAGGGGACAGATGGATACCCAAATAAAGCCGACAACTCTTTTTCACCAGCACACCCCCTTCTTCTGGCCAGTTTTCTAATGGGTCTATCCCCTGCCAGTTTGCAATTCCCCTCCAGACCCTACCCCCAGACACTGCTGCCCCTTGCTGAAGCACTGGTACCTGTTTCACAGCCACTGTCCGGGTCTCAGGGTCTGCAACCAGCTCCACTAGGGGATGAGGGGGTGGGGTCAGGATCACATCCTTGTGTGAAGGGCCCCCTCATACTGGGGAGCGGTGGCCAGTTTCAGGCCACAGAATGGAGCTACAGCATCCATTCCGGAGAGAGTAAGAGACAGTTTATTTCTCAATGGGATTGGATCCCACTGCGAGAGTCCCTAGGACTGCGCGTGGCATGGTCCTTGCCTATGAACAGGGCAGATACTTTCATATAAATAATAATAAGCGAGGCTTGACGCAGGCCCTGGGCTTGCCCTGTTACCGTCCACGTCCACCCGGCTTTTACTTTTCTCTGTAGGATCACCTCTCTTCACAAAGGTGGTGGCCAGTTTTAAACCTTCAAATGGCTCGAGAGCAGCCTCCTGTGCCCACTGACAATTCTCCCGGGGTTGGCACCACACCCTCTTCCCCAAGGTCAGGTACAACCTCTCCTTCTGCGCTCCCCAGAAGGCACCAATCGACCCCTGGGCTGGACGCACCACGCAACTGTGCCTAGTAGCCGAGCGTCCCTCGGTGCATCATTCTTTAGGATCTCATTCCCGCCTCTAGAGCAGGCCACACCCCTTCCCGCTCAAGCCCGTCCCCACCTTGGTTTCTGGAGCACTTCCGGTCCGTAACACGGGTGAGGGGACCCCGGCCCAGGACCAGAGCCTGCCGGTTTGAAGGCAGGAAGATGGGAGGAGCTCCCCCAGCGGGGCTCTCCAGCCACAGGCGGCCCTGGACCTCCTCCTCAGCCATCCTGCTGCCGGCCTAGGGGAAAGTAGGTTCGGGGGTCTGAGCGACAGGTCGACCTCGTGAACTACAGGAAGCCCCGCCTCCACCTTCCGGCACCAAGGTTCCCCTGCCTCGGTTACCGGCTCCGGAAATCCCACCCCCTCGCTGTCGCTTCCCAGGCGACAACGCCGGCCCCAATCCCCAGTGAGTGAAGTTCCCACCTCTCCCGGCAAAGGCCGAGAGCGTCGCGCGTACACCCCCAACTCTCACGCGTGCTCGCCGCTCCGACCAGGAAGGCTCTGCGAGAGGTTCTGTCGGCTACCCAGAGGGCGGCTTCCGGCGGACGGAAATGACTGTCCTAGCCCCGCCCCCTCCAGTGCTTTGGGTCCTTCTGCCGCTCTGCCCTTCTTCCCTCTTGCGGCATCGCGCGCCTCAGGCCGTTAGGCGGAGTGGATCCTCCATCCATAGATTTTTTTTTCCCCTTTACACGTTATCCTCTTATTTTAATCTTCTTTGCTGGAGAAAATTGCAACAGGAGGAAGCTTTCCGATTTGACGACCATCGTCAGTAAAAGAAATTCAGGCCCCCTAGTCATCTATCCGACTTTTGTTTTACCCCCGATGCTGCAGTTAAATCCGCAACTATAAAGTGGAGATAATCGTTCCCAGTTGTGGGGTTAATAGGAAGATAAAGAGTTGATGTATGTAAGTGAGCGACAGTAAGGCTGTTTTGTCTTTTTCCATTGTTAACACTTCTCAGGTGGTAGTCTGACGATAGGGGATGAAGATTCCATTTTTTACCTTTCCCTGTTTTTTTTTGCTTCAGGTATTGGGGATTGAATCCAGAGGTGGTCTGTCACCGAGCCACCCTCCCCCCAGCCCTTTTTTATTTTGAGGCAGAGTCTGGCTGAATTGCTCAGGTTGGCCTTGAGCTTGCTAACCTCCTGAGTCGCTGGGGTTACGACGTGTGCTCCATCAAGCCTGCTGAACCTAGTCCTATCTTCGAACCAGGTTCCACCTGCTGTCTAATCGCCCCCAGCATTCTTGTGGGAAACGCCCGCCTGAAGATTCCTGGCTTTGTTTGGGAACCTTAGCATGCTCTCCAGAGACCGATTAATTAAGGGCCATTACGATTCCATCACTCATTCCGCTTCAGGTTGGAGTTCCATAGTCACATAGGACTGAAGTGGTCTCCACGACCCCGTGA